TCCCCTCCACAACAAATTGTAGTGGCAGAGTCCAGGAACAGCTTGTCACTTGATTTGTGCTGTTAATATGAACTAGGCCTGTGTGGTTAGTATTCATTGATATAATTGTACCCTGCTTTTCTCCCACCCTGGGGCCTCAAAAGTGGCTTACAAAATGAAGCATGAAAATAAAGGCATGCAACTGAATAGGTGCTCCCTTGAGGCAGGTGTTAAAGTACCAGATAACTCCAGACTGTTTCTGGTTTCACTGATCCATTCCAGCCTGATTCACACACGGCCACACCTGCAAACCCTTAGCCTTATGTAAAAAGCTCATGCCTACGACCAAACCCCCTAAGCTTCGAATGTGTGTGTTATGTGCAGTCAAGTCACTTCTGACTTATGGCAACTCTGTGAATTAATGACCTCCAACATGTACTAGCACAAGCTTTACAAGCTGAAGGCCATGGCTTCCTTTATTGAGTCAACTCATTCGATGTTGGATCTTCCTTTCCCCCCGCCTCACATTGTCATCTTTGGTCACGATGTGACCAAAGTATGATAGCCTCTGTTCAGTCATTTTAGCTTCAAAAATCAGCAAAGAAAGGGGAGGGGCAGGTGCCCAGCCCAGGCCTTACTCAGCTTGCTTAAATGTTAGCAGTGTCCTCCCCTTCTAAACCCTCTGGCTAAACCTAGGCTTCAGATATCTCTTTACTAAGCATCCACGGTAAAATGGACTCTATGGCAGGCCCAGAAACTCCTGTTTATGTTATCAAGTTAGTCCTATTTATTTTTAGCCTTACATATAGTAGTGGGCTGCAGATGAGGCAAAAGTAGGGCAGCTTACTCTTTTTCATACTCATTAAGTAGCAAATCAGAACAGACAGGTGAATCTGAGGTGCATGCTGGCTGAACTAAACCAGTCTCAAATACATACCAAATGCATGTGGAAAACATTAGCGTTTATCAGTGTTTTGTTCCACAGGGAGACAAAGCTACTTGGGAAGTCTCTGAGCTATAAGAGACATTAGGAATATCTGATCTGCCCCTGATTTTTACCTCTTCAAGGAACTGAAGGGTAGCTGTGCTGCAGCATAACTCCCTTTTTATTACCCTTTGATACCCCAGCTATCTATAGATAAAATTTTTGCTCCAATACTTCCATGAGTCACCTTTCAAAATAGACCCACTGTGCCCCATTCTTTCTTCAGACACAGCACGCATCTTAACTATCACCAATGGAACGTATAATTGTATTTGGTATTAAGTCATAACCTACAGGCCTTATTGGCCATGACACCCAAAGCAAAAAGTTAGTTTCAAAAGTGCCCTTTGTAAAAAGATAGTAATTTCCTATCCTGGAGGAAAATCTGTAATGGTTCTGATTCAGATATATGTAAACTGTGATTCTGAACTAAGCAACTTTGTGGAGTCTTTTGTAACAGTTCAGCAAACTACCCTCATTACACAAACTAGGGTATAATATTTTTATTTTTTCTTAATTTACTTACTAGGAAAAAGGCCCGTTGTGGAAATAAATACAACGGCCTCTAGAAAGAGGCTCTGGGCGGGTGCCCTGGCGTTGGACACTTAGTGTCAATTCGCTGTGGTACCCTCAGCAGGGTATAATGACACTGAGTCCACCATTTTTTTCCAGAGGAACTGATCTCTGCTATCTAAAGAACGGTTGTAATTTTGAGTGATCTCCAGCCCTCACCTGGAGATTGGCAGCGATGGTTCCCCAGAAGGGAATAGTTGATTTGGAGGTGGAGTCTATGGCTTTGTACCTGTCCGAGGTCCCACGCCTCCTGAAACCTCACCCTCTCCAGGCTTCATCCCTCACATCTCCAGGAATTTCCCACCTGGAGTTGGCAACCCTATCTCCTTCCCAGCCAATCATCAATCTACCTTTATTTCCCCCTCACTCTTCAGCTTTCCACCCCCCACACACTTGCAGCCTCTCCCGTACTCTGAAGCCCTGACTGCTACGTCACATTGGCTATCATATGGGGGCCACCTCAGCAGCATATAATGATACAGAGACCACCATTTTCTCCAGAGGAACTGATCTCTGCCATCTGGAAAGCAGTTGTAATTCTGAGTGATCTCCAGCCCTCATCTGGAGATTGGACACATTTTACCTCAGAACAGCAAAACTGTTTAGAATGTTAGAGGCAAAAGCCAATCAAGTCGCATATGCAAATGACCTCTGTGTTCCGAGGCAAAGGCCAATGAGGCTGCATATGCAAATAACCTCTGTGCTCTGACTGGCTATGGGGGGGAGAGGAACAGCAAAATGTTTAGAATGTTGGAGGCAGGACTCAGGCAAAGCAGCCAGTGGATAGGGAGACCCTCTGAATGACAGATCAGAGAGCATGTGGAATGTTCTAGAGAAGTGCCACCACCATTCGGCTTTTATTTATAAGGGAGATTATCTGCTTTTATTTCTTTGCCAATAAAATAACTATGAAAACCCTGAAGTAGTCTAAATGTGTGGTGTTCTGCATACTTGTGCCTAGATGTCATAATAAAATTACTGCTTGGAAGAGGAGTGGATTTTGAGGGTAAACTATATAGCCAAAGTCTATGAAAGTCATAGACCCACACCAAGCAAACACCCTCCTAAAGCAATTTCTCACAAGAAAAGCCCTACTCCAGAGAAGAGATCATCTCAACCAAGATTAAAACTACCCATCTCAAAGCCAAGCAAGCAGAATCTGAAGCTCCAACACTTCCAATATACCTCAAACCACAACTAAATCCACACTAAATAGTGAAACACAGCATCTATTTAACAAATCTCTCTGAAAGACATTTCAGTAAATATAATTTCAAATGAAGGCTGTCAGTTCTCTCAATACAATATCTGAAAGCTGGATGTTGTTTAATTCAGTGGGTTATTCTAAATCCAGTCATGAATGAAACTCCCAATATGCCTGTTGGAATGTCTGAGCTTGCAAAACGTGGGAAATAAATTATGTGAAGAGCTCAGCCACTGGTGAAATTGGGGACTATGCAATTATAATTAAGATTCAATTGCCTTACAACCTTGCTTTGGGTGGCAGATCAGAGGTAATAGCCAGTTCCCTCCTGCCTGCTCTCCTGGGTGTGCATACTCCATCCTGGAGGAAAAGGGGGTGGGTGGCACATGCAGGGAGCATTCTACTAGCCTGGCCCACAGTTTTAAAGAGAGATGTGGTTGCTGGATCATATCAAAGGATCATAGCTCACTACAAAGTGCCTGTGCTGGCTATTCAAGATGTTCCATATCAACCAACCTCATCCCAGCTTTTTGGCAAGCTTGGCACACACCTTTACAAAATCAGGCAACACTTTAACATTAGTATGCACACCTTTAAAAATGTTGTTGTAAAATCCATATTGTCTTGATCAGAATGCAGACAAAGCATCCTTCAAGGAGAAAACAAAATCACACACGCTCTTCTCTGCTGCTAATTGGGGCTACGGAGGGAGCTGTCAGTGCTTGAGCTCCATCTGCTGAACGCTAAGAATGCCTGAGGCCACCTCTCATGCTGTGCATCATGCAGCAACCCAGCACTGAATGCCTATCAAGCTGAGGAGGGAAGAAGAAAAATAATCCACAAAGTCAAGGAGAATAAAAACTGGAGCATGTCATAACAGACAATGCAGTTTATGGCATCTGCTCTAGACCTAGAGGTCCATTGCAGGCTAAATACCAAACCTCAGAAGTGTACCTAAAAACACCTGTCAACCCTCTGATGACACTGAAATCCATGCTAGGGCATGTGGATTAATTGGATGGTGGCTGAAAGGGGAGCAGAGTTGACCTCTAAGTTGACCTCTTAGCTCCTCCCAGTCTCTGTACCCCAGCCATTAAGAGGCCCCTCTCTTATCCAGGGATGGTGGAATCCTGCCCAAGCAGCAGCATGGAGGACAGAGCGCCACCGTTGCCAGGCATCATTAAGCTTTGCTATGAGGAAGAGAGCATTCACTCCCCTGCCTCCCTTCAACAGACCAATCAGCACCACATACAAGACTCACCTCCAGAGTCAGCCACCCGGACACGGGGTAAATGGTGCTGGCAGTCATGGCCTAGGGCCAGCACCAGTGGCTGAAACAGCACCCAGGCATGTGTGTCCTAACCATAATAAGGGGCTTTGGAAGGAGCAATGCTCTCGAATTGACCCTTGCAGGACCTATTATCAACAACTGCCAGCTAGCCCTGTGTTGCATCTGTAACAGAATGGGGCTACTGCTCAGCAAATCCACAGCCAAGCTTTACATAAAGGTTATCAAGAACAAGCATAGTGGAGTGGCTAAGAGAGCAAGTTATGATGAAAAAACATTCCTTCTCTCCCCCATTCCAAATGCTGCCTCTGCTGTGAACTTGCTACACAGCCTGAGGACACGGGCTTCTCCACAAAGAGGCTCCAGGCCAGGGCCTACTGCATTAGAGCCCTGCAGCTTCCCTGCACCCGGCAGCTTCAAATCACACTAAGATGGAAGAAACATGAAACTAGGACTAGCAGCACCAGAGAAAAGGTAAACAAGACCCTTCACCCTGGACTGGATGTTCTACCTGATGAATAGGAGAGGAGGCAGTCACGCAAGCGGCATGTTCCATGTGACTGAGAAGAAAGGATATCAGATTCAGGCCCCATTCACCCCACCCTCTTATTAAAACAAGTAATGCTACTACAACTTTTCAGTTAAATCTGCTGAGAATCCTTCTTCCAACATTACTTCAAAACGGTTGAAATTCAACATTTTGCTGAATTTATTCCAGAAGCAAATTTCCACTGAAATGCAATTTTTTTTTTAAAAAAGTCACCCAGTATTTCACCATCAGAATGAGGCTTATGTGAGATTTTTTTTTGCAGCTGGGATTCTGAAACGCAACATTTTGATCCTCCAGAACTCTGAATTTGATGCATTTAAACCCAAAGTCACATCCCATATGTCAGAAGCAATTAAAGCTCCAGAAATCAGCAACACCTGCTTTGTACAATCACTTTATTAACACGAGTACAAAAGTGCTGATCACTTGCTCTGGTTCATCATGCCCAATGGGTCACCACCCTCTGGAATGACAAGTCACACACTGGGGACGGTCCATCCACTTGCTGGTGGGTGGGTCGCTGGGTGATATGTGCCAGCAGTGAGAAGGAACACAACAAAACAAAACGGACAAAACTTATTTAATTAAACAGGACCTGGGTGGGCCAGAGCCATTTTTAAAAAATCAATGCTACAGTAAAGGCAACCTGGAGAAGCTCCATGGGCTTTTAGGCTTCCTTCAGTGCTACCAGAAAAGGCTCAGACGAACTGCCACAGCAGAGCTAGGACAGGTAGCATGGAAAGGAGGCCTGGAGGTAATTGGGTGCCTTACTCTGACACTTGTCCTAAAGTAACTGTAGTAAATAGAGAGCCCCCCACCTTGCAGTCCTAGCCCATCCTCTTGACCACAATACAGATGACATTATCCCCAGGTGATGCCAAGTGTGATAATGACAAACTGTAGGTATTTGGACAAGCACTGTCCCATGAGACATTGGCCACTTGGGCCTATACTCTCCCCCTCTTCCCTCAGCTTAGTTACCTACTTGATTGGCATACAGGAGCAGGGTGAGAAGTTGTCCCCACTCCCTGCAGGCCAGCTAAGTTGACATTTTCTTCTCACCAGTACTTCACAAACCTGCTCCCCGCTGTCATTGGTTCGAGATGCCAACAGGGCCCTTTGGTTTCAGAAGGCTTTGGCTGATCAGGGCTTGAATGCTGAAGCAAGAGGCAAAATAAAAGCAAGGGATGCTAAACTTCTCTGGGGATTGGTTTGTGTGTGTGTGTGTGTGGCTTGCATGAGATTTCTTCCAGACAAAGGTGATAAGTACAAGGAGCCACCGGCTCCTTAGACCGTAGCCCTGAAGGTAAAGGGAGACTGAGGTAGGAACAAGGGAGCAGGCTGGAAGCAGTGAGAGAAATGATGTCTTTCAAAAAACCGTTAAACTGGGATCCTGAGGGGCAAGAAGGGAGGGAAAAGAGACCTTTGTTCAGTTTAGCATAATGCTATTATGAGGTCTTCCATGAGGAGCTAGCTCTTCAACTGCTGTAAACGTTTAAAAGAGCCACAGAAATAACCACCTTAAGACTCTACATAGCCACTTTCTTCAGGCCCACCATGATGGGATGACTGGGAAAGGAAGCTACTGGTACAATAGCAGGATGGGAACAAATCAGAAGAGGGTCACAAAAGAAGATGGCACTGTGGGTATGGTGATTTACAGTCCATGACACGGAAAAGGAGTACTATGGCACTGCAAGGCACAGCTGACAAGCATTTTGGTCAGAAGTGAAGCAGATGCAGTTGTTGGAATGCTGGCGGCCTTGTGGCATTATTGGGCATTAAAGAAGAATACTGTGGGATCAGCAAGGCAGCACTGTAGTGCTGGCAGGCAGTAGGCAGAGTCATCAGTGGATTGGTGGGCATGGAAGAAAGGTGTTTGTGGTCTGCCTACTCAGTGGCACTGGGGTGCTGAATGAGGAAATCCTACAATTGGCTGGCTGGCTTGTACCGTTAGGCACCAAACGATACTGAAGGGCTGGCTCATGATTAGCCAACATGACTGTCAGGCACTAAGAAGGGATCATTCTAGGAAAGGACAGCTATTGGCTATGGCACTAAGAAGGGCACTGTAAGACAGCTGCGTTTTGACAAGAGCTTGTGTGTGATGCCTGAGCACGGCAGGGTCCCAATTTTCAGGCCCATTTCCTTCCTTTCACGTCTCCAGCTAGACAGGCCTCCCTTAGGCCAACACTACAATCCCAAAGTACTTTCGCAGCTGCTCCAAAAAAATGAAGGTGAGCACAGTGTGTGGGACCAAACGGATGCCAGCAGGAACAAGGCCCTAGAACAACAGATGAATAAGGTCAGTTTCTGCCAGTTTTGGAGACAGAGCTCACATCTACCCTGAGAAGCACTGAACTGGGAAGAGTCAGTTGGACTAGAAAGCTGGGCAGCAGGATCTCAGTGCTAAGGACGTCAATTTCTGAAACATTTCATCCCATGTGTCTGGCCTGGGAATGGGTAGGAAGCTGCCATGCACCAGGATTTGGAGCAATTATCCTCAGCTGTGCCCACTACCCATAGCATGGGCATGTTGCTGCAGCGCTGGGCTCAGAAAGGGAAAGCAATAAGAGGGTGGCCACAGGGCTCCTTCCCATCTATTTTGGGTGGATGGAGGGAAGCAGTCTGGCCTGGCCAGTGAGGTTTGGTGCAACAGGAACCTAGTAAAAAGGTAAAGGTTCCCTTGCTCGAAAGCCAGTCGAATCCGACTCTAGGGTTGCGGTGCTCATCTCCGTTTCAAAGCCGAAGAGCCAGCGCTGTCCGAAGACGTTTCCGTGGTCATGTGGCTGGCATGACTAAACACCAAGGCGCACGGAACGCTGTTACCTTCCCACTGAAGTGGTACCTATTTATCTACTTGCAATTTCTTGCTTTCGAACTGCTAGGTTGGCAGGAGCTGGAACTAGAGATGGGAGCTCACTCCGTCATGCGGCAGACTTGGGTCTTGAACTGCTGAACTACCGAACTTCCCACAGCCTGCAGTTCAGCGCCTTAACCACTTGAGCCACCGCAGCTCCTGCCTGTAGATTATGCCTCCACAATTATACATGCTGCCTTTTGCACACTGCTGTCCTAAGGCGGCTGCCTATAGCCCCCTAGTGCCAACAGTGGCTCCTAACAGGAACCTAGGAGGCACCAAAAGCTATACCAAAGCTGGAATTCAGGCAGTCTGCACTCCAGGCCTATCTGCTTGCCATGATTGTCTATTTCTGCTCCCATCCCATCCAGGTTACCTTATAAAAGGCCAATGGTCCAAGCTTGGCAGTCTCCAATGCACAGTGCATAACACCCTGGAACAAAATATGATGAATTTAGTATCTTTTCAGGTACACTGGGCTCCATGTGCAGAGTTCAAACCATATTCTACCAGGTTCAATCTCAAATCAACATGCACTTGCAGTACCAGGATAAAGCCCAGAAGTCAGGGGAGCTGTATCAAGAGGGAGCAAGAACCCAAACACAAGGCCCTTGATGCATATATGATGTGGTCTGGTGATTGAACCAAGTAGCTAGAGATCTGGTCACTCACCTGATACTCCCCCTGGGAATTCATAAGCCGTGTCTTTAGCACGTCCAATGGCTGACACAGGAATGTGGCACACCCACCCTGTGTTACAGAGGGAAAAAGAGAATCTGGCTGTAGAGAGTTCCAGTTAGTAGGCAATGTATCTGCTTAGGGTGGATACAGGTGACCATTTACCAAGTGGTAATTGTCCCCAGCTGGATAATACCAAGTGGTGAGATCATCAAGCTATTTCTTAAATTTAGCATAGAGCAAACAATCGTCTGTATTCAGCCAGGGAGGGCAGCACGTGGGAAGAGGCCATAGGAATTTCTTGTTTGATTCACATTGGAAGAAAGTGTACAGAAGAACAACAGACCCCTAGACTTGGCACAACCTGTCTCAATCCACCCACCTTCCTTCTGAAAAGCCCTTTGACTCTTTTTTTTCTGCTGTGTCAGCTACTAGTTCCATCTCTCCCCCATCCTTGCTGTTCTTTTGTCAAACCTTGCCATTCCCCTTTACTCTGTTCCTTTCCCTTCTCCATTAAACCTTTATCCAGACACCTCACCATCTATGTCACTTCTCTATAGCAACAAATACGTAACTGGGAGTAACCTGATGCTGAATAACAGAACAAGACTTGCTCCTCCTGTGCTGTCAACCCTGCCCGTTAAGATCCCAAGCCCTGTCATGACCCTGCAGATGGAAGCAAGGTTTGGCAATTAGAGACAGGGCTTTTGCGGTGGTGGTGGCTCACCTTTGGAATACCCTCCCCCATGAGGCTCGCTGGCAACTGTTTTATTGTTCTTAAAGTGCCAGGCCAAAACATTACCTTTACCCAAGCTTTTAACAGCCTTTTTATAGCCTGTTTCTAGCCTGAAGGCTGTGTTATGAATAGCATTTTAGGCTACTTAACGACAGGATGTTTTGGAGGTCATTAATTCACAGGGTTGCCATAAGTCGGAAGCAACTTCAGAGCACTTAACACACAAACAGACAGTGTAGTTTTATGCCATTTTTATTGATTATTCTTTGCTTGTTTTGATATTGCTAAATTTACAGCCCCCTGACTAGGTATAGTAAAGTGTCCGCCACAACCCTTCCCCTCATTTTTTGTAATCCAAGCTCAAAGCAAAAACAGAATTATCAAGTTCTTGTCAGTTGCCACACATGGCTTGTTATTTCTCAAGTGGTACAGGCCTTGCCCAATATTTCTGCTTGAGGCTCAAACACCAGGCAATTCTACTTTAAAATCACAAGTTTCCCAATTTTGCAGTGCAGACTGTGATCCTTTCAGGGATGAAGGATTTCATGATCTCCATGATCCTTTCCTGATGAGCTCACAATTCAAGGACAAGAAACTTCATTCAGATATGGCTAGTGGTCTCCAACATGTGCACACACTCTTCCCTAGTTCTGCATCCACTCACAGATATATATATACTTACAGCAATAAAGCTGGCCAGAAAGTGGGTGAAAATATTGTCAGAGAGCCAACCGGTCCCAAGAACCAACTGCTTGGCTTGATCATAGCAGGAGAGCTGCAGAGAAGTAAATAAGTTGTGAGACTAGCCCCAAATGTGTGAAGGACAGGCTGCCGAACTGCAACTAATCCTCAGTCTCCTCGAGACAGTCTAGGAAGGAGATATAGATCCCCAGTCCTATTAGGCTTCTAGCGAGATAAGTAAGAGAGGCCTGACCTGGTTACTGAGTCCTCAGTCAACCCGCTAAGGATTTCAAGATAGGCTTGCAATCTATACCCCATAGCTGGTCTCTTGTACTACTGGGGAAGTGTGACGTCATGATGCAGACCTCTGTCCCAACAAAGTGATCACTAGATGCTCAGCCATAATGCCTAACCTACCCCCTTCCTAACTTATCTCTGCTAAGTGGGAGAGAAATAGTGCAATGTTCAGTCTGTTGGGCATTGTCTAAGTGACTTCAGAGACAAAAATAAACCTTAAATAACTAACCATCCTAGTGAAAAATTAACATGGTCCCTGCCACACACTTCTGAAATGATCTGACACAGAATGTGCCCATAGTGTTCTACCTTGCTCTGTTCACAAGTGCTGCCTGTAGATTAAAGGTAAAGGTAAAGGTTTCCCTTGCTCGAAAGCCAGTCGAATCCGACTCTAGGGTTGCGGTGCTCATCTCCATTTCAAAGCCGAAGAGCCAGCGCTGTCCGAAGACGTTTCCGTGGTCATGTGGCCGGCATGACTAAACACCAAGGTGCACGGAATGCTATTACCCTCCCACCGAAGTGGTACCTATTTATCTACTTGCAATTTCTTGCTTTCGAACTGCTAGGTTGGCAGGAGCTGGAACTAGAGACGGGAGCTCACTCCGTCATGCGGCACACTCGGGTCTCGAACTGCTGAACTACTGACCTTCCACAGCCTGCAGTTCAGCGACTTAACCACTTGAGCCACCGCAGCTCCTGCCTGTAGATTATGCCTCCACAATTATACATGCTGCCTTTTGCACACTGCTGTCCTAAGGCGGCTGCCTATAGCCCCCTAGTGCCAACAGTGGCTCTGAACAGATGGACTGCAGGAAATCATCCCTGGATTCTACATCTTACCCTCCAGTGCTTGTAGAGGGATAACACTTTCCTTACATTTCCTTGCATTAGGACACAGTTTCCACAAAGTCATATTTTCCTTCCCCAAGTAACAAGTATATAAGAGCCTTCTGACATAACAAATAAAACCAATTTCATATGAGAACAAGTACCTCAACCTTTTGGAGTCACACAAACCATCCCTTTCTCTCACAAGCTGGTCACATATCAAAGTACTGGAGTTCCTGACAAATCATGACATGGCATCATAATTAGAGGAAATGAAAAGTTGTGGTCTGTTCTCTCCTCCAAACCTGCGTTAAACTATGGGTTTGGAATCCATATTCATATGCAAGAGAACAAATCACAGTTGCTGTTTTGTCCTGTTTAGACAAACTACAGTTTCTCAGGAACCCGGAAACGTCAAACATTCATTGTTGTAATGAACAAACCATGTTTGGTTTTTGTTACAGGTGAATGCAGCCTATGAGTCAGTCGCTTGCATGCATATACTGAAACAGTGGTAGGTAGTGGGATCTAGGTGCACATGGGGGTGTGCCTAGTTCAACGCATGTGTACATAGATGTACATACTCAGGCAGCTACAAATCTCTGCTGAATTCCTACCTGTCCAACAGTAACCAGGGCTCCTCGACTGGATGCCATTGTTGCTCCAGAGAACAATTTCTTTACACCCTCTGCAATGATAAAAGGGGTCAGTGGATGGAATTTATACCCTTAAAACAGGGATTCCCATGAGATCATTCACTGACAACTCCCCAAGCTCCTCCCACCCATATACCTTGGCTGCACTAGTCCAGAAACACCTGCATTTCCTAATAATGGAATCCATCTCTGTAACTCCTACTTTCCCAGCCCCAGGGCATTGTTCAGGAACGGGTATTCTCCATTGCTCCTGTTAAGTTCTGTTATGTCCTTATTTTAAAAGAAATCTAGAAAGCAGATCAATAAATGACTTGACTGAATTCTAATCACAGATTAGCCACAGTTGGAAGACCAGAAACCCTGACAGAGCATGATAATGATCAGAGAGACTGATGCCTCAATCAAAAAAAGTATTAGTAGTTTAAAGGGTTTTTTAAAAAAATACTCTGTTGGCAGATATTAAAGCACTAGTGGATACAAGATCCCTTGTTAGATATCTGCAGAAGGGATGCAGTTTTAGAGTTAGTTAGCAAAGACAGAATGTGGCTGAGATGACAGCTAACTTTCAATTAACAGTATCAAGAAAGGAATGTTCTTCAGAAACTCCAGTATTCTCATTTCTGAAGCTTCCAGTTGACCCCAAACTTTTCAACAATTTTATGGGAGGGGGGATTCAAAGTCAGATATGATTAATGGGTGACCAACCCCACTGTCACCCATCCAGTAAGGCCTCCCACCCAGTACATTCCCACAGGGAGTGACTTGCTGCCACCCAGTAGGTTTGGTTGCTCAGACTGGGAGTCTGATTGGCAGCTGGTGTCCCAGCTAACTTGGATTTGCATGCACACTTCCTGGCAGTAGGTCATGTTGCACCTGCAGCAAACAGAGCTGCATGTCTTATGGACATATTATCCCTTGATCTGTCAGCAGTACTTCCCAGAGCATCACCAGGAAGTAGGAAGCTATCATTAATCATTCTAGTACTGAACATTAGGTTCCTCTCACCCCTCTTTTTGATATGGAACAATTACTCTTTTACCTTCTCTTTTCACACTATGCATGCTCTTTCTCTCCGAGGATCTCTGATCCAAGGATGTGGTCCTATCTTTTACAACTTTAATTCCACCTATGCCAATGCCAGATTTATAGATTCCTTCACTCCTCCAGACAATTTACTCATCCCCTCCCTGCCAAAGTCTGGTAGCCAGTCCTGGACCACATGCAAGAGCAGCTTGCAAGGACCTTATGCTACCGGTCACAATGTGGGTCATTCAGGAATGCCTTTCCCCACTACTCTTCTGTGTCTGCACCCACACCAATCTACACTTTCAACGAACTTTGCCATGGACAGAACTGCCCATTCCCGCTGACACTAACGTTGCCACCTGCTGACTGTAGCCCAGGACTAGCCACCAAGCAAATCCAAGCTGGCTGGGACACCAGTTACCAATCTCACTTATGCAGGCTCCCAAATATTTGCAGAGGCAAATATTTTAATGACATAGCCATAGCCAAGGAGACTGTTTCTTGGAAGCTGGTCAAAATTTCAGATGCAAACCAATCGTACATTGACCAAGTTCTTACCTTCATGGAACACACGATATAACCCATTCAGGGCATGTGAGTAGCTGAGAAGCAAAGAGAAACCATCAGTGGCCTGAACCCATATTGGTGCAAACTTTGCTTTCATTCGTCACATTGCACCCACACTACAGGCTTCAGTCACAATCCTTCACTCTTATGGCTCTGACTGGCAATAGCTCTGGGGTTTGGCCACTCCAGGACTCTTAAAAAGTAAAGGTTCCCTTGCTCGAAAGCCAGTCAAATCCGACTCTAGGGTTGCGGTGCTCATCTCCGTTTCAAAGCCAAAGATCCAGCGCTGTCCGAAGACATTTCCGTGGTCACGTGGCCGGCATGACTAAACACCAAGGCGTACAGAACGCTGTTACCTTCCCACTGAAGTGGTACCTATTTATCTACTTGCAATTTCTTGCTTTCAAACTGCTAGGTTGGCAGGTGCTGGAACTAGAGACGGGTGCTCACTCCATCATGCGGCACACTCAGGTCTCGAACTGCTGAACTACCGACCTTCCACAGCCTGCAGTTCAGCGTCTTAACCACTTGAGCCACCGCAGCTCCAGGACTCTTATTCGGGTACTAAGCTTCAAAAAACAGGGATTTCAGGAATGATTTTTCCTCCCTGAGGCCATACAGTCTCAATGTAGCCCTCTTGGGAGGATAAAGGCTTTCTTTCCCTTCATCTTTCTCCCCCAGACCCGAACCCCATTCATTGCAGGCTTGACACTCACTTGCGCCTCAGAGGTAGTGGTAGCTTCATATCATTCTGCATCCTAGAAGAGAGTTAATGCAGCATTAAGGGGATTGGGGAAAAATAAAAGCCACCCCATATTAGCTCCAGAACATATTATAGGGGCTGCTTAACAGCAAGGAACGAGCAAAAGATGTTGGTATTCACCCATCTCGTTGGATTTTAGTAGGGGATATTACCAGTATCCCTCCCCTCCAAGCACTGCATTTCTGGCCAAGATTAGCTGGCAGATTAGAGGGGACCAAAGTAGGGGAAAGATTGGCATAGCTGTGGGAAAAGGGGAAGGAAACACTGACCTGACATTTACCATGTCAGCTGGGGTCCCCACGAACCCACCAGCGAAACCTGCAACCAGACAACAGCAGGTGAAAGAGGACTGTGTAACCTGCCCGAGCTGCCCATCAACTGTGCTTGCCAAGTTCCAGCTCACCTCCTGCTGCACCTAGCAACGCCTTCTGGTAGAAGGGCATTGGCCCCTGGGCACCCTGGGTCAAGCGGTCCCTCACAGTCTCATAGATGGCAAAGCGGGTGAGGGAGTACGTCATCTGAGGAAGCAGAAAGAGTCACAGGAGGGGGATGACAGCCGTGTCTCACCCCCTGGCCCTCCTCAGCACATGGCAACTGCTCATCACAACCACAACACAGCCATAATGCCAGCCTTGCAACTGCCCAGCCTCTGCCCAGGTGTGGCCACTGTCCTCGTGCTATTGAGCTCAGGGTACTCACACTCTCAACAGTCACAGTGTGTTCCTTTTCAACAGTGAACTGGCATTGCCTACTACACGCAAGAGGCCTTCCCCCCCTCCCCGCAGCCCAACTTTTGCAACAAGAATTATACTCGAGAATGCTTGATTGCAGCTACACAAATTGCATATTCCTGTTGTGAGCCTTCATCTTTTTTTTCTTGCATGGATGCTCATGCACAGTTATGAGAAATGCAGCAGCAGAGATGCTGGTGCAAAAAAGGAGAAGCCGTTGTGACTGTCAGAAGCAGCTATACAAACAGGATGTTAAAAGGAAAGGTGGAAGCAATTCAACAGACTGTTGCTGTTCCCAGCTTGTCTTCCACACATAGGCTGTCATCCTCAGAGCTTCAGGACAGATGCTACAGCCTAGAAAACTGGTCCTAGAACCTTGATGCTCCCAAATGACAGTGGTTATTGGGTCCCAGCGGTCTTACATTTTACTATCAATGCCATGTTCTGCAGTTATGGCATTACCATGACAAATTATGAGAGTGCAGAACTACAGAGTTCATAGGTATCTGGTCATGAAGCTGAGTAGGATTTCAGTGCTTAATTTGCCCAGGGCTTGGGGAAGATGCTGGGAGGAGCTGCAGAACTGTTGTAAGTAATGATGGAACCAAGCAGCTAGCATATGAAGGCCCTACCAACAGGATCATTCAGGTGAGAACTGGTTATTGTAAGCAATCTTTGCAGTGGCCCAGCATTCACCTGTCGGCAGAGTGAGGCACTAAGCCCATTGTAGAGTGCTAGAAAGCCATCACAGCGAATCACATGTAGTGCCATCCCTGTCATGCGCAGCTTCACTTCCTGCTGGGTTTGCAGATGGACCTAGGCAAGAACAGCAGATAGCAAATGGGTCAGGCTAGAATTTGTTGAGTTTTTCATACACTGTAGGACAGCCCAGGGTGGCTGGAGTGGGGTTATTCAGGTACTGCAGCACGTGTATACCTAGTACAGCAAACCCATGAGGTTACAACCCCATACATCACCAAGACTTCAGGAATCCACTATAGCTTCTAACACACACACACACACCCCGGCAGGGACAGTCTTAAGGGATACTGTGAATGAGGGCTCCAGCCGGGATTCTGCTAGCTTTAAGGCATACAAATCTCCAGAACCTGTAACACTTCTTCATCTTCCCTAGCTTCTGCGTGCAATGTAAAAGAACCCTTTGTATAAGAATTTAACATAAGAACATAAGAGACGGGTAGATTTGGGAAAACTGAATATTGAAGTATAGGGCTGGAGGTCGGAGCACTGCTGGAGGCCGGACGAGGGGGAAAGGGTGGGGGGTAGGATATAGGTTAGAAGAAGAAGAAGAAGAGAAGAGATTGGATTTATACCCCGCCCTTCACTTGGAGTCTCAGAGCGGCTTACAAACTCCTTTCCCTTCCCCTCCCCACAACAGACACCCTGTGAGGTAGGTGGGGCTGAGAGAACTCTGACACAAACTGCTCTTTTTCAAGGACAGCTGTGCCAGAGCTTGTGACTGACCGAAGGTCACATCAGCAGGTGTAAGTGGAGGAGTGGGGAATCAAACCCGGTTCTCCCAGATTAGAGTCCGCACACTTAACCACTACACCAAACTGGCTCTCCACACCAAACTGGCTCTTGAATATGTCTAAATATATCCTAATAAATTGTTTTTTTTAAAAAAAGAACATAAGAGACGCCAATGTTGGATCAGGCCAAAGGCCCATCCTGTCCAACACTCTGTGTCACACAGTGGCCAGAAATACCAGGTGCCATCAGGAGGTCCACCAGTGGGGCCAGGACATTAGAAGCCCTCCTACTGCTGACCCCTCCAAGCATCAAGAAGACAGAGCATCATTTGCCCCAGAGCCCCTATCTATACCTTGTGGCTAATAGCCACTGATGGACCTCTGCTCCATATGCTTATCTAATTCCCTTTTGAAGCCGTCCATGCTTGTAGCCGCCACCCCTTCCTGTGGCAATTTACAATATGAACATTTTATTCTCTTCCTTCTTTGGAGGTTTTCAAACAGAGGCTAGATGGCCATCTGACAACAATGCGGATTCTGTGAACTTAGGCAGGTCATGAGAGGGAGGGCAGGAAGGGTTGCCTCAGTGCTTAGTTCTCGTGGCCCTTTCTTACACGCCCAGGGAAATGCTGATTGCCACTCTGGGGTCAGGAAGCAGTTTTTCTCCAGGCTGGTTTGGCCAGGGATCCTGGAGGTTTTTTTGTTATCTTCTGGGTGTGGAACAGCGGTCACTGCGGGTGTGGAGGGGGAGGTATCTGTGAATTTCCTGCATTGTGCAGGGGGTTGGACTAGAGGACCCTGGAGGTCCTTTCCAACTCTATGATTCTATGATTCCCAGAACCTGGAAAACAATTCAGCCCCTACCTCCCTGCTCCAGGCTGCCTTGTTCAATAAACCCCTTTGTCCTTCAAGATAACAAGATAAGCTAACAAAACCTTCCAAAAAGACAAGCCATGATTCCCAAACACTTCGCCAGCCCCACTTGCACCCATGCTTTGTCTCCCCAATACTATTCTCCCCTTCAGCAAAATCACAGCAGGCCCAAAAAGATCTGCATTCTTCACCCCAGAGCCCTGTAGTTCTGAATGTGAAGTCATCCTAATGCTGTTCCCAAACAACCACTGAACGTATAAACTGCCTGGCCTTACTGTGGAGCTGCTTGTACTCATGAGACAGCAACATGGGAGATCTAGGTTAAAGGCCCACAAACTGATAAAGCCTACAAACTGATAAAAATTAAACCCCTGCAGGGCCATTGGCCGGCTAGCCATTCCTCCTCCTGCAGTAGGGCAAGGGCATAACATATGGAGGACCATGCTAATCTCATTCAGTCCTTGACTCCTTACATCTGTATTTTCACCAAGAAGGGCCATACATCCTCTTTATTTTATTGTACTTCTTATTTGGAACAATAGATTGGAATCGTGATTGTAATATAATACAATGAATAGTAGAACGTAATGTAATTTGGAATGGTAGATTGGAATGTCTGGTCTGGTGACAGAGGAGACATACCACTGCACAACCAATCACCCCACCTTACAGAAAAGGATGCTGTTCGTTACCTCCATGCTTGAGAGGAGACAGATGGAGCGTAACAGGGTCACAGTTAATTACTCTCAGCATTCCACAGTTAAGGTTTTGATATATTTATTTGCTTCACTATATTTCCCCCTGGAATTAAATCCAAACAAATGGTGACCATATAAACTAAGCTTGTTATTCCTATTTGGTCCTTGCATCTGTTAAACACCTTCATTATGTTGTATGCTAATTGGCTACTCACCCTCTACCTATATGTATGGACTGGTAACTTTCATTTCAAAGTATCTGAAGAAGTGTGCATGCCCACGAAAGCTTATAACTTGAATAAAACTTTGTTGGTCTTAAAGGTGCCACTGAATTTGAACTTTATTGTTGCTTCAGACCAACACAGCTACCCACCTGCATAGGCGTAGACTACGGGGGGGCTTGGGCCATCCCCTAAATTTTCCAGGGAGGACTGAGACCCCCACCGGCAGGAGAGCCCCCCCAGTGCTGCTGCGGTCGCCAGCCAGGCCCCCTCCCTCCTTCCCTGGCCGCTGGGTGCTCCCATGCAGCCCCTTCGCCACGGCACTGCAGTGCACTCGAGGAAGGGAGGAGCCCGGGGGGAGCCCTGCAGTGCACCGAGCTGCTGCTGCTCACCCAGTGACCCTCCTCGGGCCGCAGCTCCAGGGGCTGGGGTGTGTGTGCCAATCCCGACAGGCTGCTCTGCCACAGCAGGAAGACACCGGCGCTCTTCGTGGGCCCCTCCTCCTCCTGGGACCTGCTGTTGGCTTCCAGTTTCCCTGGTGCCCCAAGCCGAGCCTTGGGGGCTGTGTATGGGATGTTGGTGGCGGATGCTGCCTGGAGGGAGCCCCTGCCACCAGGCTCTCTCTGGTGCTGGGCAGGACAGGAGCTGGGCTCTTCTTCCAGGTGGAGCACAGCCCGGAGAAGTTGGGAAGGGAGTGTGTGTGTGGGGTTCTGCCTCTGGCCCTGCCCCAGCCCCCCGCCGGAAATGGGAAAGTCTGCGCCCTTGAGTTAGAATCACCTGGCAAGTGCCAACAAGCTATTTGGAATGAAGAAGAAGGAATCTCAGAGCGGCTTACAATCTCCTTTCCCTCCCCCTCCCCACAACAGACCCCCTGTGAGGTCTTGGGGGGGGGGGGCTTGGCCGCAGGAAAACGGGGAGCTGCTGCTTCTGTGCCTCAACTTGGGGCGGAGGGCTCTTCCCAGACTTTTGCGGGCGCCTTCAACTTTCTCTTGGCCCCTGAGCCAGAAGGCAGGCAGGCACAAAGGAAGCCCCGGCCGGCGGTTGCCCTGAGGCTCTTCCACGATGCTGCCCTTTGTCAGAGAAGAAGGGCTGGAGCAGTCTGAGCTGAGTCCAGGCTGGGCTCGAGGGGAATCTCCTTCCTCCTGGACTGGGGAAGGAGGCCAGGGAGCCAAGTTTGAAGTGGAGGAGCCCCAAGGGATGCCCTGTGCCATCCAGTCCAGGCATTAACTCAGAATGGAGACCCAAGGGGGCTGACTGGTGTGGAGTGGAAAAGCTAAAGAAAGCATGCGGGGGGGGGGGGGGGGGAGGTGAGAGTCAGTGCCAGCAATGTTTTCTTCCAGCTGTTTTTCCCTGCAGACTTCTGGGGGGGGGGGTCCTTAAGAGAGCATGCCAGAGAGAGAGATGGATTCCCTTTTCCATTTCTAAAAGATGTGGGGGGGGGGGACCTAACAGTATAGCTTGCATTCCTTATTAGTGAAAGGGAGCAAGACAGAAACTAACAAAGTTTCTGTCAAGGTATGAGCTTTCATGAGTCACTGCTCACTTCTTCAGATACAGCTAGAGTGGAAGTCCATCTGTTCTTATTTCTTGGAGAGTGAAGTGATTTCAGATGCCAAATGACAATAGCAGGCATTGTTAATGAGATAAACAACCTGGGTCTCAGTTCAGTCCAGGAGTTTGCATTGTCTTGCGCTTCATGATCAGTTGCAATTCAGCAGCCTCTCTTTCTAATCTCCCTTTGAAATTCCTTTGTTAGAGAACTGCTACGCTTAGGTCAGCAACTGAATGTCCTGGAAGGTTAAAATGTCCCCCACTAGTTTTTGAATGTTGTGGCTTGTGATAGCAGTAGAAAAAGTAAGAGTCCAGTAGCACCTTTAAAGACTAACAAAATTGTGGTAGGGTATGTGCTTTTATGAGTCACTGCTCACTTCTTCAGACTTATTTCCATGTATTCTTTGCATCCTCCTGGACTGAATCCTCTTGTACCAAATTGAGACCTAGGTTTCCTGCCTCATTACCAGTGCTGATATCTCTACTCCTACTACCCGATCAAGCTCACTATTGCCAAACAGCATCTGAATGGGATTTGTACTTTTACTCACTTGTAGGATATGAGTTTGAAGAGAGAAGAAGATTGCTGCTACTCTGAACTCTGTACATTGCTCAGAAATTGAGTGCACAGCAACTGTTTGGTATTCTGGCTCAGCGACTCCAGCCCTGCATTTAACAAACGAAGGCCTCTGTGATGCCATAATTTAGTAAATTTCAATACAAAGTCACCGTTATCAATAAGGCAGAAACAAGACTCCTGTAAATGAATGTCAAGGAAAACTTTAAAAATGTTCCCCTACAGGCTTTTCTGTATTGCCCTCCTTACTTTCTGATTTGTGACCATTTATTTGTCTTATGCACATGGTATGTATATCTGCAGGTTTTAAAGTGACTATTCTAAAAGTGAATTTAAATAAAGGACACAGCAAGAGACCACTGAGATACCACTATAACCAGGGCTATTTTTGGGCAGGAACGCACAGAAACGGAGTTCCGGCTGGCTCCCAAGTTGGCCACACCCAGCAGGAACTCATTAGCATAATAGGCCACACCCAATAGCAGGAACTCATTAGGATTGGCTACATTAGGGGTGTGTGGCCTAAGTTGCAAAGGAGTTCCTGCTACAAAAAAAGGCCCTGGGTTTTGACAACAAACAAGGTAAACAGAATAAGAAGCAAAAGGTGGGTGTGGCTGGATGAGCACACTTCTGGTAACATGGGAATGCGGTCTAATATGCTAGTGAGTGGTGCAGTTAGGGGGTGTGGCCTAATACGCTAATGAGTTTCTGCTGCTGGTGTGGCCTATTATGCTAATGAGTTCCTGCTGGACCTTTTCTACAAAAAAGCCCTGACTATAACCACTGGCCAACTCCAGCCTTTTCCTGGGTTTAGCCCAGCCCAGGGGCATGGCTAGGGGAATTTCCAAGGGTTCCCAGCCCCCCCTAAATTTCTGGGGAGCCCCTTCCTAAATCCCATATGGCTCTGCCTCTATAGGTAGTCAAGTGACAATGCTCTGTGATGTCACTGGACCTTGGTTCTTTTAAGGACCTAGCATAGCAATGCCTCTGGCCCAGCCCCAACCCCCCCCCCCCGGAAATTGGAAAAACTATGCCCTTGCCCACCTGAATCTATGTGGAGGACCAGACAGTCCATATGGGTTCTGAAATAGCCACAAGGAGAAAGATACAAAACACACCCATATGCCAGCCTCGTGCCTACAGGAATGGGCCCTGTATGGTGTGGAATGCTTCCAAGGACAGGACTCCAAGGCTGCGATCATACGCACAATTAGACCCGACATAGGTGCGAATGCTGGGCGGATTTAAAGGGCGCAATCAGACAACACCTGGGAAGTGCCCTGCAGCCGTCGGCAACCCGGTCTGCTCCGCCACAGAAGCTGAGTTAAAAGACACCAGGGAAAATCCAGTAGTTAGTGGGTTGCGACAGGCCATGGACAGACTTTCCTGTGTCTGATTGCTCCAGCATGCTCTCATGGCGTTGGGATGGTCTGATCAGGCCATCCCGACTCTGTGCCGTTGTTCCCCCCCCCCCTTTGCAGTACACGCATCATCGCAAACTCCATAGGGAGACCTCGGTGCAGAGGTGCGATTCATAAAGCGCATGGGGGGAAAGGGCACACACACCAAAAAGACTCACCCGCAGTTGCGTCTGCTCATGCACTGATCACGCACTGACAGTCTGAGCCCACAGCTTCAAAGGGAGGTGTAATCATGCAACTGCTGGTCGAATTCCTCCAGAGGAAATAGCCTTGCTTCCCCCCCCCCCCATTTTTTCTGGCGCATGTGACTACAACCCAAGACAGTACCTGGCAAGAGACACTTAAATGTGCTGCCAGGGATTTCTACAGATTTGGTCCATTGAGGAAGAGCCCAGATCCACTTCCTTTAACAAGCAAGGGGTTCAAATTAGCCCTAATGAAAATACAGTACACATAAGAGTGCAGAGGTACTGGATGTCAGGAGAGGGTAGTGAAGTGAGAGCTGTGCAACTTGGATGGGCAGTATTCCCAGATAGCCAGTGGCAGCTCAAAAATCCATTGTAGAGGCTGAGGCAAGAATTTGCTCATCAGGCAACTGGCAGGACCAGGAATACAGAGGGAACAATGACGTGGGCTGAAATCTGCAGGAACCTACAGAGTTAGCAGCTTCATACTAGCATTAATGTGCCAGAACATTGTACAGGGAAGGAATTTCACCCACAGAGAACTAGGCTAAACTTGCCTAATATCCTAGGGAAGAGGGGGGGGAGAACCGTAGAACAGGCTTTGCCTTATACTCCATCATTAGCAGGACCTGTTATCTGAACAGTACATTGTTGTTCTATGCAAGTTGGCTTTCTGGTTTATTCACTCTGATCTGTCCACCCCCTCCAGTTCTAAGCTAACAAGTAGGTTCTCTGTTGCTCAACTTTAATCAACCAGTGCCAGAGCTAGGGAGACACGGTAGCCATTATAAGAAAGGCCAAATTCCACCACTCTGATCACTGGTGCTTGAAGTTCAAAGAAACAAATAGAAGAGGGAGCAGAAGGGCTTAGAACAGAATGAGTATCACAGAATGATTAAATTCCTTGCTAACGGTGACCTCTTCCTAGGGCACACTTCAACAATCTCAGTGTACATGTTGACTGTCACTGAAAGGAATCAATAGGGTAGCCATTCTTTCCCCCAATTTGTTTTCTTGCTTTGAAGCATTCATTAGCAGTATTTCTGTCCACTTTGCTACCTGTGAACAGTTATAAGAACATACAAGCAATCATGCTGAATCAGGCCAACTATTTGTCTAGTCCAGCATCCAGTTTCACAGTGTCTAACCAGGTGCCCCTGGAAGGCGTACAAACAGGGCAAAAGCTTCTCTTATTTTTTTTCCCTAGTGCTGGTGCTCAGAGAGTTACTACCTCTGAAATTGCAAATTCTATTTAGTTACGATGGCTAATAGCCACTGATGGACTTCTCCATGAATTTGTATAATCCACTTTTAGTCAACTAAGCAAGTAGCCATCACTACAGAATGGCTCATGACATAAATAAAACATCAAGCATCATAAATCATATAAAATATAAAAAAGCTGAAATCACAAGATAAAAATATAACTAAAACATCAAATTAAAATGTTTAGCATTCTAAAGTAGGACAGCATAAAACTGTATTTAAAATCCTGATGGATAAAAGCAGGAATCTGCTATAACAGGGAGCTTTATAATGCCTGAGAAAATAAAAACATCTTCACCTTGACTTTGATGCCAGGCAAACCTTTGTGGGAGGGTACATTTCAGAGCATGGTCAGTATTAGCTTGCTGTGGACTACTCAACCTCTGCTTCTTTTATTTGCCATCCCCTTTGTCAAAGTGAACGCTGCAAGTTGAGTTCTTTTTCTCCCTTACATTTGGGGAAGCTTGGGCAGTTACCTTCTTGGCTTGGGGGAAGCCCACTATAACTGTTTCTGAAAATTGTTGGATTCAAAATAACAGGAGTGAAGCTGACAGCATCAGTTAGGGGGAAGTGGAAGGGGGATAACAATTTAAAAACTGGGAAAACCATTTATCAGGATCTGTTCCTTGCTTCTAAAACAGTCTATTGATCAGAACTGTGTACCAGGGATTGAGAATCAATTCCCAAGCTTACCCAGATGACCTTGGGCAGACTACTTCCTCTCTCTGTGTTCCTCCCCTTCAGAGCAATAAAAGTGACTAGTTTATGCCTGTACCAGGCGAGAAAAACAATATCATGAGTGAATGGGTTCTGTTTCTACAGATCTACATAAATCCCAGAAGATGAGGCTGCTGAAACGAGACTATACCCTCAGTAGCTACTAACTAGAGCAATCCAACAGCAACTTGGACCAAGAAAATGGTGCCAGACTCCTGAAACCACTGAAACAGACTGAACAAGTTAAACTAGCTTTGCAAGGACCTCTCAAGTATCAACTAATCTCTTTGCCTAGTGCCCAGCCTTGTGGTGATAACTGGCACAGATTCCTTTGGGCACCTGGGCACTGTGTACTGGAAAGGAGCCACTGTCTCTGGGCTGGAGGGGAACCACTACATGGTACAGCATTAGCTGCCTACTCCTAGGAAACGAGACACCAGGAGGTGCCAGGAGCCTAACGCCAACCGCTGCCCGTGTCTCTCGCCTGGGCAACAGGGGGCTTCTGCGCACTTGTCTGAAGCAAACCTCTCCTGGTGGGGACTTGACAGGCCCTTCCCAGGATAAACAGAGCCAACATGGCAGCGAGAGGGAATGGCAGCAGCCACATGGGGGAATTTCTACCCCCAGCGCGCAAGTCACCACACACAGTCGCATCCTGGGTCTGGAAATGCCTGTCAGGTTTTTCTGTCTGCTCTCGAGACAAATGGAAGGAGCCAGAATAACATGTCCAGGCACCTCCGCTAATTGCCAAGCAACCTGCTGCAAAGGGAAAGAGCGCGGGACCCGGGGTGTGCGAGGCGTACTGCCGGAGTACACGCGGAGGGCCGACTGACACCGCCCCCCCCGCCGCCCCCCGGGACTCCCACCTCGCACCTCCCCCCGGCCCGTTCCCCCGAGGGCTCCCTGCAGTGGCACAACACACCTTGATCAGGTCTAGCGGGTGGGTACAGCAGGCCGCCCCGCACGAGGCCAGGCCCCCGAAGTACCAGCGGGAGACGCGTTTCTCCGCCATCGCGTTGCCTCCGCGCGGCCTTGAGCCCCTCTGCGCCGGGGATCGCGGCAGCACAAGCTCACGGCCGCTTCCCCACCCCAGGCAGGAGCCGCATGAACCGCCGAGGCCTTAAACGGGCAACACCAGGCAGCGGTAGAGGGCGACCTTAAAAGAGCAACGGTGCAAGGCGAGCAGAGGTGCGCCCGGGAGAAGCCGGCCCCGTCCGCGAGTGTGGCCGGATCTTTCCCCATAGGTTTAGTCCCCGCCCCACCCCTAGATCGCGGCTTCGCTAACGGCTCTTTTCGGTGTGGAATTCCGGCGTATGGCATCAGGCGGGAGCTCCTCTTCCCGGTTCAGCGCTAATCGGTCGGGAAATCCTGGCTCCGGTTCAAGTGAGCAGCAGAATTCCCTTTGGTTTGCGTGAAGGCGGTTCATCACTGCATTACGTGTTTTTAATGCCCCTGAAATATCAGAGAAAACCAGATGTTTGGAAACACGTGCATTGCATTTATCAGAAAGTACTGAATGTACTCTTGAAGGTAGGGTCTGGGTTTTCATATGAAACCCCATACGAAAGCGGCACCCTTAGTATGGAGATTTAGGGAAGGGAGAAATTGTACCTTCTGCCAAAGCAGCTGTCAGAAACATTGGAGTCCCCTGCATCTCTCTTTTCCACGGGTGAAAGTCTTTGTATGGTTCCAACTTTTGTATATGTGCTGCCAAAGAAGTGAGCACAAAGTAAGCCAATACAAACCAGTAGGAGTACCAGAAAGTAAGTGGCCCTCCCATCATCCGCTCAGAGCCCCTGAGACAGTACCAGTAAGAAATTTAAGTTACTTTCGCAGCATCTCTGTTCCATTGCAATATATTTTCATTGTGGCAGACCCCAAAGATACAGTCTGTTCTGAATGTGATGCTGCTGAGGCAAACAGCTTACCTGTGTGTTTATGCGGCCCTGATCCAGAGCAAACTACACTGGCTCCTGTGCAAAGTAGGGACACATACTTAGTGCACATGCCAGAGCTCCTTTGCAGATACTGCCAGTCTCCCTTGTCAAAACCTTGTTCCCCTTACACAGATACAACTACAAATATGCTATGATCCTTGAACCCACAGTGATACTTAAGTTCTTCTGGGCAGCATGCAATACACGCAGGCTTTCCCTTACCTACCCAGCCCTTCCTTACTTGCCCATTCCTGGTAAGACATTTTTAGATATTTATACACTACTTCCTCCCACACATGGGGACCCAAAGCAGTTAACATCATCATTCTCCTTGGGAATTTTATCTTCACAACAACCCTGTGAAGTAGGTTAAGATGACACTGATTGGGCCAAGGTCACCTAGCAAGCTTCTATGGGCAAAATGAAGATTCATATTTGGTTCTCCTAGATCCTACTCCAACACCGTAACTGCTATACCACACTGGCTGTTACTGTCAAAACTCTGTTGGGTGCGATGAGCGACAGGCTGGTGGCCATACGCATCAGTTGTTGCCCTCCAGCCACTGAGCAATGAAATCTCCTGATAAGGAAGGCCCTGTGGACTCTTCTTGTGAGCATATTGTGCAGTAAGTGTGGAAAGGAAAGGTGTAGGTGGGACAGGATGACAGTTTAGAAAATAGAAGACTAAGTTTCAGTTTGGAAGAGACAACTAATAGGGGACATGACAGAGGTTTATAAAACTGTGCACAGGGTGGGGTGGGGGTGGAGAGAGTCGACAAAGAGAACTTTTTCTCCCTCTCCCAAAATACTAGAACTCAAGGGCACCAATGAAGCCAATGGGCAGTAGATTTAGGACGGACAAAAGGAAATACCCCTTTAAACAATAAGTGATTAAAATGTGAAATTCTGAGAGGAGGATGTAGTGATGGCCACAGGCACAGACAACTTTAAAAAGAGATTAGATTCATGGAGAATAGGTCTATCAGTAGCTACTAGCCATGGTGACTGAAAGGAACCTCCAAATTTAGAGGCTGTCACCTTCTGAATACCAGTGCCAGGAGGCAACATCTGGAAGGTCTCGGCCTCTATTTTGTTGGACCTCCAGAGGAACTAGTTGGCTACCTGTCAGCAAGCTGCCATTCTGGTTTCTGTGACCTCTGTGTTTGCTGTACTCTCAGGACCTCCAGTCGCATATTAAATTGGTGCGCCAGGTCCTTAAGCGACTTTATGAACACCACTTGTTTGCTAAGCTGTCAAAATGTGAATTCCACAAGACATGCATTGACTTTTTGGGATACCGCATCTCTGGGGGGAAGGTTGAAATGGACCCTGCTAAAATTCAGGCAGTGCTTGACTGGGAGCCCCCCAGGACCCGCAAACAATTGCAAATGTTCCTCGGATTTGCCAATTTTTACAGAAATTTCATCCAGAATTTCGCGCAAATTGCCCTTCCCCTGACTGAGTTGCTAAAGACCAAAGGGAAGGGTTTTGATGCTACGAAACCGGGCGCCCCGCTTAAATGGTCCCCTGCTTGCGCAGAGGCTTTTGAGAAACTTAAACTGATGTCCCCCTCCGAGCCGGTGCTGGCGCGCCCTGATGAATCTAAAAAGTTTATTGTCCAAACTGATGCCTCGGATGTGGCTATGGGGGCCGCTATTTTGCAAGAAGGGGAAGATGGTCGGTTACATCCCCTGGCGTTTGTGTCCAAAAAGTTTTCTGATGCCGAACGAAACTGGGGGATTTGGGAAAAGGAGGCGTCAGCGATCCGGCTGGCTCTCTCCACTTGGAGGCAGTGGCTGGAGGGGGCGCAACTGCCGTTTGAAGTCTGGACTGATCATAAGAATCTGGAGATGCTGAAATCCCCCCGTTCTCTCAACGCTAAGCAACTTCGTTGGGCGGACTTCTTCGCTAAGTTTCGATTCACACTTCGTCATTTCCCGGGGGCGGCTAATTCCCTGGCTGACGCGCTCTCGCGCCTCCCACAACATGACAGTCAGCGTGAGATCATCATGGACTCTGTTTTTTCCCCCTCCCATCTGGGGGGGGCCGTAGTCACCCGGGCGCAGGCGCGAACGATTCCACACTCTGATGAGACTTCGCCTTCCCTGTTCCCTGTGGGAGGGGGGGCCTGGGTCCAGAAATATCTTTCTGCTTTTACTGCTGAGGATGATGCCTCCCTTAAGACATTACCTGATTGTGTCCGTAGCCCTGAAGGTCTGATTTATTCTGGAGACAAATTGTATGTGCCTATTTCGATGAGGAGGGAGGTGATGGAGTCTGCTCACGGTTCGAAACTGGCAGGGCATTGGAGTTTCGTTAAATCTTTGCAACTCATCCGCAGACAATTCTGGTGGCCACAAATGCGCAAAGACCTCTTATTGTTTGTTAGGTCTTGCCAAACCTGTGCCTTAACTAAACCCAGGATGGGCAAGCCTCCTGGTTTACTGCAGCCACTTCCTACTCCGTCGAGACCATGGGAAGTGGTGTCCATGGACTTTATTACTGACCTCCCTGCGAGCAAAGGGAACACTGTTATTTGGGTGGTTGTTGATTTGTTTTCTAAGCAAGCTCATTTTGTGCCTTTTCCTTCCTTGCCTACAGCTCAGAGGTTGGCGAAATCGTTTATGTCCCACGTGGTGAAAATTCATCAATTACCTGCTAAGTTAATTTCTGACAGGGGGACCCAATTTGTTTCTAAATTTTGGAGGGAACTTCTTTCCATTTTAGGGGTCGAACAAGGGCTCAGCAGCGCGTATCATCCCGAAACTGACGGACAAACGGAAAGGGTTAATCAGACTCTGGAACAATACCTGCGTTGTTTTACTAATTATCAACAGAATGATTGGTGTGAATTATTGCCTCTTGCTGAATATTGTTATAACAATACGGTCCATAGCTCCACAGGCATGTCTCCTTATAAAGCTGTATCTGGTTACGACAGTCCCCCCCTCCCTTTCTTGGAGGGGATGGGCCAACGTCCTGTGGGGGATGCTGATACATGGTGTATGTCCTTGCAAAAAGCATGGCCGCTGCTATGCCAAACACTTGACGCAGCCAAGGCTGCTTACAAGACCCAGGCAGACAAGGGTAGGGTGGTGGGGTTTGATCTGAAACCTGGGGATCTTGTGTATGTCTCGACCAAGAACATTAAGATGCTGCGGCCTAGCAGAAAATTGGGATGGAAGTTCATTGGTCCGTTCAAAGTGCGTAAAGTCATAAATGATGTGGCAGTTGATGTTGTTTTGCCTAAGAATTTACGTGCCTTGCATTCTGTCTTTCACATGAGTCTATTGAAGAAGGATCCTGGACCGTCTCCTTGGAGACCAGAGACTACTCCTCCTCCGCCTGTCATATTGGAAGGGGATGAACATTTTGAAATAGCTGATATCCTTGATTGTAAAGTGAAACGTGGTAAACTCTGGTACCTTATCGAATGGGTTGATTTCGGTCCCCAGCACCGCGAATGGGTGGAAGAAGGGGATATTCGGGCCCCTTACCTGATCCGTAGTTTCCACAGAAGGTTCCCGGACAAACCGGGAGGTCTCCCGCCCAGCCCGGGAGGTCTCCCGCCCAGGCCGGGAGGTGTGTTGTAAGTGTATTTTAAGGGGGGCAGTATGTCAGCAAGCTGCCATTCTGGTTTCTGTGACCTCTGTGTACATATCCTTTCCCTGTTACACCCGGCTTGGCTTCTATCATCCTGTTCCTGCTTTGGAATGCAAAAGATAACTGCTGGAGGTTGTGTGGGGGAGAAGATGCTGTAATGCTTGCCTATTGATTTTCCCAGGACTACTGCACCTGTGTTTTGTCTGATGTTCTGCCTGGTTCTCATGTACTGGGCGCGCAACCGTTTCCTTAGCCCGCCAGCGGGAAAGATATTCATTGGATCTGTATCTGTTTGAAGTTCCTTTATTATGCTTGACCTAACTGTGTATCCCCAGTTCTAACAAAGAACGTGTTTGAGTATGTCTTCAACGCTTTGAAATAAATTTTGCTTTTCTTTAAAACGTGGATTTATTCTCGATGCTTGGGGATCCAACACTACCGTGTGAGACAAGATGCTGGACTAGATGGACCACTGGTTTGATCCAGCAGGGCTCTTCTTATGACATCATCATCATGTTTGTGCCAAACAGGCTAATTGATATCTTCCATGTATGGCTAATGTGGCAGAGATGCTGTGGTCAGTGGTATGACTAAAGGGAAAGGTTTCCCTTCTTCGAAAGCCAGTTGAATCCGACTCTAT